ACGTGGCTGGAGGCAAAAAGGATCTGCAGAGTGGCTCAGGCCAGGCACAGGTGCCCAGGGAGCCTGGAGCGTCTCCACCCTTGGAGATACTCACGTGGACAAGGACATAAGCAGCATGACCTAACTCAGGAGTCAGTCTGCTTTGAGCTGGAGAGGAACTCAAAGACTCAAGAAATTACCCTCTCTTTTTCTAGCTACCACAGCTTGTTCATGAAAAGTGAAGTTACTCTGCAGTGAATGTTCATGAAGTTTATCTTGGGGATTAACAGCAAAATTTACCAATCCAGAGTTCTTTACTTATCCAAAGTAATCCTCCAATCATTTGGGCTCAAGAATTTTCCCAAACAAGACTTTCTGTTTGGTCTGCAGTCTCTTTGAGCTGGGATGTTAACAGTTCACATAGCAGCTGGCTCCTAGGAGCTGTGGGAGATGAGAACATAAAAGTGCTCATGAAAAAGACAGCTCATCTTCATCAGTGTTTACTATAGTTCTGTGGGTCTGAAAGCTGGGTACTGCACTCTGCCTGCTCGTATTTAAGGGCTTTCATTTCCTCACGAGATCCCAGCATTTAGCAAGCTCTAATAGGAAACACATCCATGTAAATTAGAGCAAACGCTGCCTCAGAGGGCAAAACAGGTGCAGTTTTCCTTTAAGAGCTGTTTTCCCTAACCACTACATAAATAAAAGCTGATTGCACCAGAAGCAGGGAGCAAAGATTTCCTTCATTGCAGCAAAGGAGCTGTGAGGTGATAAATGCCATAGCTGCTGGCTCATCTGACAGCACACGGCTGTTAATCGCCTCCTCTCTGGGGAAACTGCAGGTATATCCCCCTCCAGGTATGGAGATTCATTGTCTGGAACTGATATCTCTGCTTAAATGGTGGATTAACATGATTTAAGAAATATTCATTGCAAAGTTGATTAGAAAGCCCCATCACCCACCTGGCAGGAGATTTCAGTTTTTGCAGCATGAGCCCATTTTGAGATTGTCAGCTTTTCTGCAGAAGGCTGTATTGATGTGTCCATTTTCGCAGTGGCTCCAGAGAAGGAAACCCAGAAGGCTGAGGGATTTATATGTAGTAATGAGCCTTGGGATTATTTCCTATCCTAAGTGTCTGTGGAAACCTGCAAGAAAAAAAAAAAAAAATGAAAAAAGAGAAGGATTTGAGTAAAAAGCACAGGGCTGTGCATGGGGAGAGCAGGGGTATTTTCTTCCAGTGGTACCCTGTGAGGTACCACTCTTGTGCCAACAATTGCCAACAATTCCCCTGACTTAAAGTTTGCTTTTGCAGAGTAGGGATATGAATCCATCTAAGGGTAGGTGTGCAGTTTAATCTACTCCTGAACAAAAGATGCTAAAGGATCACTGAAAAATCAAAACTGCTTCTGTGCTGGGAGTCACCACCTCAAGGCTGGTAAAGCCCAAATAAAGGAGGGCACCATTACTTCAGACTTCCTCTTTCACTGGGTACTGGCACCAGAGGGCAAATACCAAAAAGTGCTGTTGAACCCAGGTTTTCCGTGAAGCCAACATGACTTGTGGGGTCTCAGCTGGCACCGCAGATTTTCGGAATTTATTGAATCTTTATTCCTCTCTACCCTGGGATAAAAACACATAAAAAAATTGTACCACACAGGGGCCCTTTTAAAACAGATTTTAAACTAAACACATGTATGTCCTCTTTGCCTGGCTTTCCTGAAGGTAGACTGTTCTCCTGGATGGACGTCATGGTCTGCTGTGAGTTCACTCACCCCCCCACCATGAGATCAGGAAGAGTAAAAGTGAAAAAACTCATGGGCTGAGCACAAGACACCTCAAAAGGCAGAGGAAAAGCCATGTGCACAAGGAAGGCACAACAAGGAATGAATTCCCTGCTTCCCAAGGGCAGGCAGGTGTTCAGCTACCTCCTGGAAAGAGAGGTTCCATCACACACAGCAGTTACTGGGGAAATCAGAAACTCCAAATATCCCCCCCTTCCTCCTTCTTCCCCCAGCTTTATATGCTGAACATGGCTCCCTGTGGTGTGGAATGTCCCTTTGGTCAGTGGGGGTCAGCTGTCCTGGCTCTGTCCCCTCCCAGCTCCTTGTGCACCCCCAGCCCCTCACTGCTGGCTGGGGTGAGGAGCAGAAAAGGCCTCGACTGTGTGCAAGCACTGCTGAACAATAACAAAAACATCTCTCTGCTATCAGCACTGGTTTCCGCACAAATCCAAACTATAGCCCC